TATTATTTACAACAATAAGAATATCTACTATTTGTTTAAACAAAAATTATTAATAAAGTTTTTAAGAAATTAATTTGAGATGAATTTGGAATTTGGGCATGGACAAATCCCAAATATAGTAATTTGAGATTTTGCCAACATGTATAGTTGTAGCTAGGCATGTTTTATATAGCCAAATAATATTAGGCTTGCAATTTTATTACTTTTAATTTTTTTACCAAATCTATAACTGATAAGCTTTAACAAAACTAAAAAAAAAAAACAAATAAAATTTTTTATAAATTTTTAAAAAAAAAATAAAATATAAAAATTAAAACTATATATAAAAAAATAATAAATAATTAATAATATTGCTTTAAATATATTTAAAGTTTTTTATAATTTTTAATTTAGCCAAATTAATTTTTTAATTAAATTTTTTTTTTAAAATTTGTTTATATTTTAATTTATAAATAATTTAAACTTTTTTTTGTAATATAAAATTAAATATAATTTTATTTTTAAATATTATTAAAAAATTTAAATTTTTTTTGTAAAATTTTTTATAAACTTAATTTTTATAATTTTTATTTTAAAATATTGGTTTGCTGTTTTGTTATACTGTATTTAATTATATATTGTAAATTACAAATAATAATTATTTATAGTAAATACTGTATATTTTTAATTAATATATATATATATATTAAATATTAAAATACTATATATATATTAAACTTTTATTTTTATTAAAACTAAATAACAAAACTTAAAATAGAAATTATAAACTTTAAAATAAAGCCAAGAATAAAAATAAATATTAACATTTTGTAAAATATTATAACAAGTATATATATATATTTATTATTAAAGTAAAAGTATTTTTAAAGTTAAAAAAAGAAATATATATTGATAGAAAAAATTAAGTTCACTATATATATACAAATAGCAATGTAATTTTATAGCATAATGGCGCTATATTTGTTATATTTTTAAAATAAGCACCCCTTTTTGCGATGTTTGTGACCAAATTTATCAAAATAAAGCAATTTGGATCCGAAATAATTTTGATCTTATCAGAATCGACTTATTAAAACGAGTAGCAAATAAGGTGCTTATTTTTCAGACCTCATAGTAATATAAAAATTAAAGTTTTTAGATACAGCACATTAAAATAAATTAAAAACAAGACGAATTTTATTAATTTTAAATAAATAAAATGGTAATAAAAAACCCCATTGTTATAACTATACGTAGTGTAATTATATCGTTATTTTTAAACATAGCAAAATATTAATCATTTAAGTATTTTATAATACATATGATAATTATCTTTAAATTGTAATTTTGCATAATATTAATTTATTTAGAAAATAAAAATAGGTCAGTATAAAAAAAAACACTCGCATTTTAAGTAGTTAAACGTACGCATAAATGAATAATAGGGCACTTAGGGATTATACACTTATTCCTGGGAAGCAAATAGCAATAGATACGATTTCAGTTGTTTTCTCCAACTTGTAAAATAAATCATACAATTTCAAAAAATTTGATTCTTTATTCGATATATAAAAAATTTTCTGCGTTATTACGTATATTAATATTGTCATGACGCATACTTCAAATTTATGTAATTTATGTGTTAACGAACGGAATTTGATACTGCGTCTTGTACGGCGACTATCGGTGATAAATTGACCATAAACAGAAACCAACATATATTTTACAAATTTAGATAAAAATCCTAATTATAGATTTGTCATCGAAAATATATAATGTTATGAGACAATTCAAAGACTACATGTGTCTCTACATGATATTCTAAAATTCGATGATGCAAAATTAAAGGTGATAAATACGGTAGAAAAAATACTTAAAGCCAAAAAAAAGACCTTCACAAATTTTCATCGTGTTTTATCGATTATTAATTTTTTTAATTGAACGCACACAATTCTTATAAATAAATAAAATGACACAAATTAAAAAGCAACCAAGTAAACGAGCTCAAAAAAAGATCAAACATTTACCACATCATGAACAAAGAATCCATCTCGATATTCGTAAAAAGCATACTTTATTACCACCTTTACCGTTTCCTCCGATGATTCAGATAGAAGACTTGGTTGCGAAACTTACATCAAAGACATCTAAACCGAAGTTAGCAAGATTCCCAAATGCCTTTATTATATATAGAAGTGAATATGTTCAATTCTTGAAAGAGAAGGGACTTAATTTCCCAATGACTATGTTATCCGCCATGACTTCATCAGCTTGGAAGCAAGAACCTTCATGTGTGAAAGATGTTTACACTCTAATTTCTAATGAAGCAGAAAAGTTGTACAAACAATCCCTTGAGGTTGCTCGAATGTTAAACCAAGGGAATTTCTCGAACCAGTGCAAATTCTATAGTACACCTGCTACATACTATTCGGAACAATCTTTCTACAACGATCGCGAACTTTATACCAATGGGTATTCTATGGCATTTCCTGAATTTCCTAAATACGACGCAATTTATTTAAAATCGCAAGAGGAAGAAGGATTCATAAAGCAAGAGCAATTCAGTAACGATGGTTGCCTCTTTTTACCACATAATTTATCGATAAGCAATAATTTCGAAACTCTTGATTCTTCACGGCTTGAGGGAGTATCACATGACAAAATACCTACGCAAAGAAAAATTACTTTACCAGAAAATAAAAATGACCTTTTTGATATCACTACGGACATTTTTTGTGAAATCGATTCAGCTCTGTCTTACAGGCAACACACAAATAGTTTTGATATCTAAGTTCAGATTTTCACGTGAAAAAATTTGTTTCTTTTTTATTTTATACGTATAAATTTTTTTTTTTTAGAAAAATTTCTCTTATCGTTTACCTTCTTACGCTTTCTCCTTAACGCTCGTATGTACGTATGTACGTACGTAAGTAATTAATGTAAATAATGCACATAATAATAATTTTGGCAAAATCGATTTATTTCTATTTTGAAGTTTTTTCTCCTATATGTTGTGAAACAGACTTAATTAATATTCTAAATAAAAACCTGTGATATGTAATATGTACTTTGGCAACAATGAAAACTTTAATGATAAATTTTGCTGTGTAATAAAAAAAGTATCTTAAAAAGTATCTTCGGAATCTTATTACTAAGAAATGAATTATACAGTCACCTCGGAAAAATAATGCCCGATTTTTTATATCGAGGGGACTGTACTTACTATTTGCTAATAAATATAATTTAAATTGCTTTGTGTAAATTTCCTATATAACATGTATATATATATATATTTATAATTATTGTTTCTGAAAGATCATGTGACCAAAACTCTTGGCTACAATTTACAGTACAATTTAAAACTGTAAATTGGTCTTCTTTTTTGGAAAAAGTCGAATTGAAGAAATATCCTATTTGGGAAACATCATGTAGGGGAAACAATATGTACGTGAAAAAGCGTCTTGTCAAGGAAATCAGGTCGGGAAATGGATGACTGCTATAAATAACGCTTATCTTTATATATATACATATTTGTTAAAATATAGATTAAGATTAAACATACAGGTTGTTTATTTATATATATATATTATGCTAATATTCGTCTCTTATAGAGAAGAGTTTTTACCCCTTTCAGGCATCGTACAAACATATGTAAACGGCACAGCATTCGTGAGCATTGACTGCATAACTGCCATAAATGTTACAAATGCGAGTCGGGAATGTTATGTTAGCATAAAACGTGAGATATTTTCTTCGATACTCACTAGTACAGTACAGTACATTCCCTATTATATGTGACGGATTAAAAATGAAAATGAAATATTGTACAATGTAAAAATAGACAAGCCACCGAAAAATAAACATTTTTGAGGTGCATTTTTTAGGGTTAGGGGTAGAGGTTAGTTTTAGGGTAGAGTTTATACTAAACAAGTATAAGTAGGCTTAGAGGGTTAAATAGAAACCCTCATTTCATTTTAATCCGATTTTCGCGACAATTAGTACGTTACTTATTTGATCAACGCTCAATATATCACGTGCTACTTTCCGTGTCTTGCTGTCACGATACCTTCGTATGTGCATGCGACTTAATGAGCTTATTTAAAAATAAGTCTTATAATCTTAAACATGAAATAATTAAACATATGTATAAGTCTTATAATAATATAAAACTTAATTGTTTAATAATGTTTTAGGTTTTATAAAAACGCTTGCCATTTAAAAAGTGCTTTAAAATTAATTACAATAGAATTATAGTAACTTTAATTGCATTTACTTAAAATTTCAGCATTTTGATTGCAGATCTTGCTTTTAAATATGTTGAAAAATAAATTAAAAGATGGCATTTTGAATAATAGTTTATTACTTAAAGCAACGATTTAAAATTAAAAAAAAAAAAAAAAAATTAAAATGTTAATATCTCAATTAAGTTACATTTAAAGTATGGTTATAAGCTTATTTACCGCAGCGGACAATCATTTAACCGACAGGTTATTTCACCCAAAGTGACAATTTAAGCATTATTAGTTTTAGCATATGATTTTTAATTTTTATCTTGTCGAATTCAGCCCCTAAAAGAATCTGATTGCATTGTATCGTTTCTATCATTACGGGATCAATTTAGTATTATATTGTACAGTATATTTCTTATCGTTACATAATTAGTTGCACAAAATGACTAGTCATCATGTGCCTTCAATACGTTTTATCATAATGCTATCAGAGAGGCTAAGTCCAGCAAGGTGGAAATTAAAAATCTGATTTACAAGTTTTCCTTGACTTCTTAATGTCTGTTAAATGGCTTGTGGTAAAATGATTATCGATTGTTGGTAAAATATGGTCCCAGATTGCACGCGGATAATGCATACTGGATTAACTCTCGCAACAAAAAAATACGGGAATGTGATTTTTATGGCTCACGACTATTGAGTCAGGCTAAAAATAAAATATCATATCGATATGTGAATATATTTTTTTAGCAAGTAAAAATAAACTGATGCGGAATGAAAATCTGTAACTTTTACTGTTTTTAGCATTCGATTAAAACCGATCAATTGAATACGAAAAAGCATCGAGCTAACTCAAATACTTTAGTGCGAATCTATTTGGGTGCTGTAACGTGCTGATTTGTCGCTATATGTTTTTATATAATAAAAATAGCTGATACTAGAAACTAAACTATCTTAATTTAGTTGGTTTAAAATTTTGATAATAAAACATATAAATACGTATTAGATATTTTAATATATATTTGGAATTAACTATTTTTAATATTATTTTTTTAATATTAATAATAATTATAATAATAAATTTTTGTATATATTGTATTTTTTTTAATTTTACAATAATAAATAGAATTTAAATTTTTGTACTAGTTTTAATATAGTTTATACATTAAAACTGATTAAAAAATTAAAAAAATTCTATTTATTTGCAATATTGTATTTAATTTACTAAATTTAGTATATATATATATATTTTTTCGGTATTAAGGTGACCTCTTTGGCCGGGGAACGTTTTATTAGATAGTTATGTTTTTCAATTACAGTAAGAGTACATATA